TTTTTTTTTTTTTTTTTTTACTTTTGAGAGTCAAAAAAAGCTGTTCCCCTCTGCATTCTAGGTTCACCTTATTCTCCCGGACAACAGTGGTTAGGTCAAACAGTGTTCTGGAGCTCCGACAGGAGCAGAGGGAAATCGGTTCAAGAGCGCCATCAGAAAAAAAGCACCAGAAATGGAACAAAGTGGCCATCCAGTGGAGATAAGGAACCACAGCAAGAGAGCAGTGTAGCTTGTTGGTGAAACACTGCACCAAAGCGTGGAGAGAAGGCAGTTGCTTTCTGGTTACTAACGTAGGAAGAGAGTGGTGAAGCATGGCGGTAGATCGGAGAAGCTGGGAAAACAATGCCAGCGGGAAGAGGCTACAGCTGACCAGGGCTGCAGAGGATCAAAGGAGCACAGCGGGCAATCGGAAAAACCTGCTAGGCAGACAGAATGCTAAGGGCATGTAGAGGGAATGTTGGTGACTTGGCATGGGACAGCATTATGTAAAAGAAGCCTGCCATGGAGACAGAGCATGGAGAGGCTACAGCTGGCCTTGATTACCCTCCAGAGGCTAACTGCAGGAGATGGAAGGAGTACTACAGTGGAAGAGACATCAATCAGCTGATCCTTTCTCTCCTCTGATCAGAGAATATCTGTCAGGAGCAGGAAAGAGAAGGCATCAGCTAATTGATGTCTGTGCTGAAGGCAGGACAACCAAATAGTCCCTCTAGAGTTGAATTAAGTATATTTTTAAAAGCAACCTACAAACCTCTAAAGCATTGTCCACTTCATCCTTTGTCAACATTATTTTCTCTATCTTCCATTTTATTTGAAAACATAGCATGGCACGTGTAATTTTGTCCTATGGTTTTGTAGTTTGCATATTTATTTCAATAAAAATTGTGAGCTGGATTCAATAATCACTATTGAAGAATAATCATATCTGAGTAAAGAAAATGACAGTAAATCAAGCTCAATGTAATCTTCCTTTTAAATTTGAGGTTGAATGGTTGCTTCTTTTTTTCTTTGAGCAGTATTGATTGATGTTAAGCTAAACTGGGGCACTTGGAAAAGTCTTGCAACATTGCTGGCTGTTCAGTTTTGTGTCATACTGTGCAGTTTTAAATGCATTTACATTATCTGTTACTTTACCTGGTGTATTGGTATTTAATTGCATGTTTCTATAATTGCAATTCCTGAGGCTTGGTGTGGTGCATGGCCGTTGCATTTTTACGCACTATGTGTGTTATGTTCAGGCAGAGTTGATGTTTTCTGAAGTCCTGGCTGAAACCCCATTGCATGCCAGTGGTCATTTGACTTTGTGAATGACTTCCGACAAGCTCATGTGTACTTCACTAGTCCAGGTCTAAATGCCTCAAAGAGAAAGTCTCTCCATTATGTGAAATGTGTATCTGTACTTCTGTAAATTACTCTAGCTTCCTCAAGGACCCTTATATATGACACAATAAATGATTTCATTTTGATTCATAGGACTATATCACACTGAGTCAATATAATGAAATACAATTAAAATGAAAACCTTTAAATGCAATTCCAATTTAGTGAAAACAATTCCAAACCAGTAGGCTAAATTCATAAAAAAATGACATTGCCTGGGCAAATCAAATCCAGTTTCTGATGGTGCAAGAATATGCCCATTGGTTATTTACCTGTCCTTTTTTTTAAATGTCCGTTTAGGCCATTTTCAAAACTTGTATTGGAAACTAGTAGGTTTCTCAAAGAAACGACCTTTTACTGTGGCAGGAAGTGCACTTTGATTGCATATGTGTCCTAGCCAATCAGATGCATTTGACTGTCTGGATCTCCACACCTCCCCCGGTTACTTAAGAATCAAGGGTCTCAATGAAGGCAGTGTCAACATGTCTGTGCTATGGATTGCATTGTTTCTTCTTCATCAAGGCTGTAAGTAACAAAGTTACTCAGTTGCAAATGTTAATTGCATTTTAATATATGTTGTTAATTAATGTTTTCAATAATTTTTGCAGATTCTTTGGTACCAGTGGTCACGGTTCAACTTGGTGAATCTGTGACTTTGCCTTGTGCTTTCACTGAGAAGTTTCAGAGCACCACATGGCTTCACTGGTACAAACAGAGTGCAGGAGATAATTTGAAATTAATTGTAATGCAACAGAAAAGCATCAAGCCTAATTATGGACCAGATGTCTCTGCCTCAAAAATAGAAGCTACAAATGATGAAAAATTCAGCAATATAACAATTCAGAAGACAGTTATACAAGATGAGGGAATGTATCACTGTGCTCACATGGACTGGACTAAATCTACTTGGACCGGGACTTATTTGTCAATAAAAGGTATCTACATAGTTTACTTTTTCCAATGATTGACTATATCCTAAATTCTCCAAAAAAGCACAGCCTCTCTAGGGTTCAGCAAAATTACAAATAATTTGCTAGGATATTTAAATTATGATTTTCAGCTGTGATGAATCAAAGACTGCTTGTTTACAGTTTAATAAATGTCCATAATTTCATAGGAGACTTCAGCAGGACATCGAGATACAATGTTCTTCAGAACCCAACCACTGATGCAGCCCGGTCAGCAAACTCAGAGACTCTGCAGTGTTCACTCCTCTCTGGGTCTGAAGACAAGATGTGTTCAGGGGAACTCAATGTGTTCTGGTTCAGAGCCGGATCAGAAAAGTCTTATCCAGATATCATCCACAGTAATGAAAATGGATTGCACAACTGTGAGAAGACATCTACACTGAACACTCAGAGGAAATGTAGTTACAACCTTTCAAAGAACTTCAGCTCCACTGATACTCAGACAGTCTACTGCGCTGTGGCAACATGTGGAGAAATACTATTTGGAAAGGGAACTTTAACCAAAGCAGGTAGCTCCTCGAGAAAAAAGCTTAAAGTGACAAAAAATTTTTATTTTCTTTCTTGGAGACACTTTAATTTATTTTTTCCCTCATTTTTCAGACCAATTACCAAGTTCTACAGTTATTATAACGATGAGCTTAATCATCTTCTTGGCTATATCCATGATTGTAAATATTGTTCTTATTCTTTACCTAACTCAAAGATCCCGTTGCAGAGCATTGTCAGGTAAGATTTTTATTCTGGTATACTAATTACATTTATGGTTTTAAAGCCATAAAAATGCATAAATACTTAAATACCTAGATATCCGGGTATAAAATAAAATAAAAACTATAAACGGATTAGTTTCTTTTTAAAATATTCTTCTGTTGGCTTTTTTCAACAGCAAAGAATACTGTGAATAAAGTGGATACTATTGTAAGTGAATTATACCAAATGACCTATTTTATGTTTGACTTGTAAAAAATACTCTTCAATGAAACACTATAGCTATAATTTTTGTTTGTCTTTTCTTCCCAGATTGAAGATGAAAAGGATCTAAACTATGCTGCCTTACATTTCTCAGAAGAGAAACCATCAAAAGGAACAATTAAAAGACAGCTGAAAACTGAAGACAGTGTTTATTCTCTGGTTGATGGATTAAACTGACTATAAAACAGCACAGTGTTTATGTACAAAAATTTGTTTTCTAGATTACAATTTGATTTCAATGAGAAATTAGGAATTGACAAAATGAGTATGTAGTCATGTCTTTGAGAGAATCTAAAATTGGTTTTATTGTAAAAAATGTTTGCAACATAGGCCTAATAGTATATTTTTTTATATTTTCTATTATGTAAATATATTTCAGCTCAAATGTGTTGTTTTTTTTTTGATTAAAATTTTGAATGTTGTGGACTGAAAAGCTTGGTTCATTGCTGATGCCTAATAATAAAAGAAAACTGTTTAGAGAAGGAAAATCTAAAGCACTACTTTGGTTGACTTATTACTTCACCTTGAAGTTTGTTTAAGTTGCATCTACTTTTTATAGCTATGGTTGGTTAGGCTGGAGAGCTAGCAAGATTTTAAAGTGGCACACCCCCTACCATTCAAAGCTATCCCGTAAAATCAAACACACATCTCACAGCAGAACTCGGCAAAGCAGAGAGGAGCCGACTCGGACATTACTTGACATACATTTTGGACTTCTGCCTAACCACCTCATGTCTCACCTCATGGTACACCTGCAAATAAAGTATATTATTCCTGTCCTGTTTGTCTCTATGCTGCCCTGCAATAGACTGGTGACCTGTCCAGGGTGTACCCCGCCTCTCGCACACAGACAGCACCCCTCGCCATATGTTCTCTTCCTGTTCAGTAACTCTTTGCTGTGTCGTAATTTCTTTGTCGTCTTGTTGTGAGTATTCCTTGCTTTCAGTATTTTTGGATTTTGTGGATTTATGTTTTTGGATTTTTGGTTCTGTTACCCTTTTGGTTAATTAAATCTATCAAAAAAAAACTTCAGCTTCAGTGTCTGCATTTGGGTCCTGTCAAACCTCCCCTACTGTGACACTCACAGACCTCTAATTTTTTATTTTCTTTTTGTTACTTTTTCTGAACACAAAAAGTATTTTCCACTCAGGATGGAAGGACCACTTCATTCAACATAACCAAAGTGTTTCTGAAAAGGATTACCAACTATAGCTTTAATTTTAAGTCTGTTAAGATATAGTTGTAGCTCTTTGGCTTTTACCAACAACCAGGTAAAGAACTCTGCATGATAGCAAATTTCAAGTTGGCGCTGAAAGTTAGTGTTATAGTGTTAATACCTTGCAGGTTTTACATTTATTTTATAAGATTCGAAAATGACTCTAAAAAAAAAAGAAAGAATACATGTATTTAATGTGGTAGCCCCTTTTCCAAGGTAGGAATTATGTGTATGGTATGGGATCCCTCTTTTTAAGCTATATTTTAAAATCCTAACTGACACCCGGCAAAGGATAATTAGGTCACCAAATTTTAATGTAAAACATGCTGGCTGGTTACAAAGTTGTAAGTTGCTGTATGTAAAATGGAAATGCTATAGTGATGACCAATTTATTGGCCCAGTCTTTGTGTGTTATGACTGGCTTAGAGACATTAAAAACAGTTAAAAATGCACAAAATGAAGATTTAAGGGAAAAAAAACAAAAAACTCCAAAAACTATGATATGTAAGTGTAGGTACCAGTGACGTAGTGCAAATGCTTTCATGTGTTTTGTGTATGTATGTGTAAATTATGTGTTTTCAAAAATGAAAACATACTGAGATGTGGATAATGATTATATATATATATATATATATATATATATATATATATATATATATATATATAGAGAGAGAGAGAGAGAGAGAGAGAGAGAGAGAGATTGCTTAGCACATTTTTGCGGAACTGCTAGCTACTAATGAATGACTATGACTGAAAAAAAAAAAAAAATGCAGCACCACAGGCTACATACATGTTGAAAACCTGTCGGGCCCAAATCTGTGATAGGGCTTAATTTCCCACAACAGAGCAGCAAGCCCACTAAATTTTTTAATAACAAGTCCAAACTGGTCTATTAAGTCCATCATCTACCTTAAGACAAGTAACATAAGTAACCTACAAAAGAAGCATAACATTCAACACAAATGTATTATTTACATAGTTACCACACATACCGCAAGTAGCAACTACAATCTAAACCAAACAGAAACAGTTAAAACCACAAAAAAAGGGGTCACACGTCAAGTGGTCCTTCACCACAAGAAGTTACCACAATAACAAGTCCGCTTGACATACAAGTGACCCACAAAATATGGAGAGCCGCACTGATAAAATGACCACCATCAGCAAGTTGCAATACCACACTAAATGTCACTGCTTTCATTCAGTCAGCAACAGAAGGTTTTATTCAACCAACAGACCCCCACACAACACAAAAAGTTACAACACAGAGAGTGTTGCCAACTCCTTAATTAAAAAGACTAAGCCTTAGCTAGTCAAGGCGCTAGATGATGCCATTGCCTAATTGCATATTTCATGTCACTCAGGGGATTTTGGCCGTTTCTCAATATGTGTACTTGTGCGTTCTCATGTGCTCATGAAACATCATCAGCCTCAGCCTAAGTGCTGTTCTAATTCACAAGAACACAAGACTGAGAACGGACCCTTCCCTCTTTACCGAGCAGGCATCAAAGCAAACTTGCCCATTCTCGAGACTGACAGCTGATCCTGCATGCACCGTGCGAGCAGCAGCTTCCAGTGGAGTGCTCAAACAGCTCAGAGTATTAAGTTGACAGTTCTTCCTATTGCTGTTGTTCTATGCTTTAGAATCAATTTTAGCAGAACATATACTGCTTTAGTGCATGCTTTTAAAAACAGTTCTTATGTTGAGAGGACCATGGCAACCAGCGGACCTCCGAAGCTGAACGCAGCCAGGGCTGATCTTAGAGGAAAGAGGAAGGATAAAGGAGTACAGAGACATACAGAGACAAGATGAGAATAAAGGGAAATTAATAAGTAAAAGCACCAGGCAATGTTGGGGCCAGTGCTGTAAACAGCTGCAGCCAGCCTGCCCTGCATGGGGCACTGAAATGATAAAAACATTGAAAATGAGAATACTGACATTCCCAACATTTTAAATTCATACATTGAAAATGTAAACGTCAAAATTTTAAATATTGAATATTCAAACATTGAAATTTACAACACTGAAAATTAGAATTTCTCTCCAAAAACTTAAAAAAAACTTATGATGCTATCATTTATAGCGGCAGAATTTTTCACTAAGAGATGTTTTCAGAGTCACTGCAGAGTACCTTTGGCCACAAGGTCACTAAGCTCGTACTGCTTCTGTGCTGGAGAGGAGGGTTGGCAGGACCAAAATGGAGGCTCCTTCAAGGCTTACCATCATTATGAACATCTGTATGAGTTGCTAGGCTACAACAGTTAATGAAATGCTGGAATGATACCAACTTTTAGTGTTTTACTGTCTATATGTATTCCTAAACTATTATTGTGAAGCAAAAAACATTGTTATTTTTAGCATTTTCAGCTCTGGTTCAACAGCTCTTTACAGAGGTGACTTGTACAGACTAAAGGGCTTTAATTTTTTATGATGTCTAATATTATACACAGGAATTTTAAATTTGTGGCTTTGATTACCCAGAGGGGGAAAAATTAAAATAAGACACCTTTGTTGTTAATCATAGCCTCTTTATGTATTGGGTGTCTGCTGTTTATGTGGCTGGCTAGGGGACAGATACTAAACCCACTATGACCAATCTTAAAAGTTGCCCTGGAAGATCTTTTAACCAGCTGTCAAGAAGAACCGTCAGTTCTGGAGGGACTTTACCTTTAGAACCAGTGAGGAATTGCTAATACTGAGGATCGGTAAGCTTGTAGGATGGAAAGATATCTGCTTGATGAGTTTGTAAGGTATTACAGAAGGTAAATTCAGTGTTTATGTTTATGAATCATTTAATTTTTATTTAAACTTTTTATCTAATTTTATTTCACTGTCTGGAAATAAGTCAATTGGCCATTAAATAAAAGCTTGTAAAATTATCCTTTACTTCTCACACTTTCCGTAACACTGAGTCGGTCTTATAATCACTGAAAGGAAGCACAAACATCAAAGCTTTGTCTTACTCAGTTTGGTTAAACTACTGGAACAAACACACGTTGGGCTTGATTTTCAGAAGGTTTTGTGGTCTTAAAACTAGTGCAATCTGTTTTACTCAATGAGCAAATCTTCAAAGAAGGTGCAAAGTAATTCAGCAGCAAGAACATTGGCAAACCTTTTTTTTTCTGTTTTTGTTTGTAGGCCCTTTTCAATATGCAGATTATGTCCTAAAGAGCAAACTGCAAAAATATATGGGTGACGGATAAGCACATGTAACCCTTTACCATGTGCAAAGCAATTTTCCAAATCGTGAAAAACCCAACTGCAGCAACAGTTTATGCAACCTTTGTCTTAGTACTTCTAAAAGTGAGGTGTAAACTGACATGCAAAAACAGATGCAGTCATTGTTACCACAAAAGAAACAATGGTACAATGTCAGAGGATGAAAAATTGCTGTGCAAATGTAAACATATGTGGACCATAAAAATGGTATAATAATAATGTTTAAAAGTCTACAGGTCAGCAAAGAGGCAGTGGGATGGCAGACAATTATGACCATCGATTATTACAGGGAATTTTACCTCCCTCTATTGAAAAAAATGTAACAGTGCATGAAGCATTATTGTTCTTTATTTTATTTGGCTGCCAGCGGAGCCAGCACCCGCCTTGGTGCTCTGGGGGGGCGCTTCTTTTGCTCTTCACCACCACTATTGGACATTTTTTATTTAGATAAACTTTACATGCACAAGTGCAATCTCACAAACAACTACAGGTGCTTGGCTTCAGGTACTTAGAGATTCACTTCCATACAGAAAACCCATAATCTTATCTTCAGCTACCACAGTATACATGTTAGATTAAATAATACTACGTATAGTTCAGCAATAGTATCACAGTGTTATTTTATTGTATCTCTTATACTATATCCGTTGGTTGTGCTGTTCTTTTTACTTCTCTTTCTCCCTTTTCTGTTTTTCCTTTACTAGTCTACTTACATTGCAATGCCCATAAAATCTGTAATACTCCCTGCATGAATCATAATAAAGCTATTTATATGCAAAAATCAAGCGGAACACTATGGCTGTTGCTGTAATGCTCCACTTGTGTAAGCAAAATCTGTTGGGCTCTCTTTTTGGCATTAAGACAATTATTCTTATTGCCACATCGCCAGACAGGACACCGAGAAAAAAAGAAAAAGCAAGCCAATTCAAGCTCTGCAAAACCAAATGAAGATGGACCCAAAAGCATTGACGGACGAAATTACAGCGCAAATGAAAAACAACCTGACAGAACCTAAAGGTACAACATGTATAAATTACAGCGATTTACTGACATAAATGTAAGATAGTATCGATATATATATTATTTATTATCACATATGAACTTAAAGTCTCAATCTTTGTGTCTGAATTGCCTAAATTCCTATTTATTATTTAATAGAAGTCAGTTACTATTTGTGAGGGTAGAATCTTTTGCGGTACGGCAGCACAGAGCTGATATACAGTACTAATGACTGTAGAGATCATCATAATGCTTGATTGGGACTTTGGTAAGTTAGGCCTAAATACTATCCTACACAGACTAATAAAATATTATTTATAAAATTATCTAGCCTTATTCAGGCCACAACCAGTCCATGTTTGCTTTGGTCAGAGTGCCCAAAGCAGTGTGTTGAATTCCCGGACAATAGAGGTAAGGGGAGATGGAATTCATGAGGTCAGGAAGGAGCAGAGGGTAATCAGTGTGAGAGTCTTTGGGTGCGGTGGAAATTGATTCAGCTCCAGTCCACTGGTTTTGTAACAAGCACTTCTTGAAATATAACCATTATACATAACAACTAAAACCAGCTCAGGGATGGTCCTAAACTAGATTTGTGCAGTCAACACTAATGGTTATTTTCTGAATAACACAGGGAGTACCATACAGAGCATTCTGTCTCACTGTAAGGTGTGGAGGCTGCAGCGCCTCAGACTGGAAGAATGTGACAAGAGTGGTGAGCAAAGCAGAGAGGATCATATAACTCCCAGAAAGTAAATGAACATAAATGTAAACACTACTCTTCCCGTCCAACCATACATCCGTGCATTTTCTACAGTAACACATAAAACAATGAGCTAACCAACCCAACTTTAGCCTGAAGTTAACAGAGCCTTACCTATACAGGAATATCAGCAGAGGCAGACTTAAGTTGCTGATTAAATATTGTGATATTTTTGCTCCTCTTTTAAGTCCCCATTAGCTGTTGTCTGATTCTACAATACATAAATATAATTGAATTTGATTGTCCAACAAATCGTCCATCAACGTTTTTATCTGGTCTGCATTTTGATAATCAAAACTCATGCGCATATTGTCATGTTATCATCCTCGTCTTGTCATGTTTGTTTTTTTATCTACATAAAAAAAGCCTTGTCAGTAAAATATTAGTGCATTGTTTATCATCAGCCATTTCAACAAGATGTTGAGGTTAGCAGCCGACCACCCCACTCATGAGAGAAATTACTTCTGGCAATTGTGTTAATAAAAGAAAACATATGTAGTTTGTTCATAAATAGGCTATCAGAATTTGCCTGTACTATATCATGACTAATAGGAATTAATCATTTGAAAATCTGAAAAGTGTAGGAATTGTGTTTTAATTTGCTTTTGTTTTTGGATAAAGGGTTAATTCTGACCAGCTTCTGGCAAAGTAGAGTAAAAGCTATAAATTGTATAAGATTTATCTTGAGGTGCACATTGTGCGCCACTTCTTCTATAACCCACAATTGTGGTAAAAACATCACAATTTTCCAATTGTGGGACAGTAAAAGCGATTTTCTATTCTATTATATTACTAGAAACATATCTCGTACAAAAACCTTGATTTTAATAATTTCTCCATATTGGTTAAGAAATTTCCAACAGTCAGCAGACCATCTTTTAATGTAGACATTTCAATGTGACAGAAAGCCCCCTTTGATTGTGCATTTTAAGGTAACCAATCAGATGCATTCGACAGTCTAAATCACCACACCTCTCTCAGTTTTCTTATGCCATAAGTGTCCTTATGAAGACAGTGTCATCATGACTCTCCCATGGCTTATACTGCTTCTTCTTCATCAAGGATGTAAGTAGATGTAATGAAACAGTTTAATATTTTTTTATGTTGTGTATATAAACTTTTTTAAAGTAATCTTCACTGTTGTTTTTTTTATGCTTTGCAGATACTTTAGTTCCTGTCACTACAGTCCAGCTTGGGGAACCTGTCACTTTGACATGTGTTGTGACTGAGACGTTTGAAGTCATGACATGGATTCATTGGTACAAGCAGAGTGCTGGAAATACTCTGGAACTAATTGCAGTGTTGCGTAAAAGTACAAACTCCACCTACGGACCTGGATTTTCACCCTCAAGATTCAAAATAACATATAATGATAACAAAAGCATTATGATGATTTTGTCAACAGTGGAACAAGATGAGGGGATGTATCACTGCGCTCATATTGGCTGGACTAAATCTGCTTGGAGTGGGACCTATTTATCATTAAGAGGTAAATACAGGTATTGGTTTAAAATGGAAGGGGATCTTTTTTGTTATTAAGATTGCTGAAATTATTTCTTATCACGGTCTGATACCGGTGGTATATGTTTGTACCAACACTTTTGATCAGATTAATTTCTTTTTTTGTATTATTTTTTCCTAATTAAACAGAAAACAAATTATTAACCGTTTCATAAGATTTGCTATTCCTACACAACTATACAAATAAATTGCATTTCCATTTGAAAATAATGATAAAAGATGGTTTTATGCACCTCAACCTTTTTTTATGATAAACTGTCATGCTGTTTATCTGTAATATCTTTCTAGCAGATATTTCCAAAATTAAGTGTTCTATTAAAAATACTCCACATATAAGGCTAAAAACAAACTTTTGAGAATCTGGAAAGCATATTTTTTTTGTTGACTATTTCTTACTTTTGACTTTGTGCCTGATTGAAGGTGCATGTTTGAAACTAAACGGCCACCGAAATACACTTTTGAGGAAAAAAAAATAAATTTCTTCTATGTTTAATATTTTTTGAGGGTTCTAACCATAAAGTTTGTGAAGATGAACTTAATTAGAATTAAAAAACAGTAACGGTAATTGATAGCCCTCAGGGATTTATGTTAAAAGTAATAATTCAATATGACTAGCATTATTTATTGTCTCTGAAAGTGACACTTATATTATGGATTGACCCAACAAAGTGCTGACTTAAATCAATTAAATTTTGAAGTTGGATAAAGATTCAGGACATTCCAACCTGAGCTATTTGGAGTTCAACCCTGAATCGTCAAAATACCTCTAGAAACACATAAAATGTGAGAATAAGAATTATTTTATTGCCGTTTTGGCACTAAAGAATAGGGAGGTTATTAGTAAGGAAGAATGTCTCCCCCATTGACAGCTGTAGATAGGCAACAGCACCCCTAGTGACCCCAACAGGGATAAGCGTGACAGAAACTGCAACATTTAATATAAACATAACTTTTTAAATTTTTGTTTCCTATTGAGAAATAGATTTTACTTACTTTTTAGAAAGAAAGTTACTTGAATGAATACAATTTATTTTAAATCAAAATCTAAAAGTGTATCACCCATTTTTTAGCTTAACGCAACACTGTGTACGTTTTCGTCACCAGAAGCACTTGGCCTGAAACTTCCAGGTTTAGTGCTCCTAAAAAACAATTGGCATCACTGCACTGTCACAAAATTAAAACAGTCTCTCTACATGTTTTGAAACCTGATAGAAAGCATTTTGGAGCTGCTGCTCTAAATCCTACAATCCAAAGCTATGTGTTGTAAGCTTAACGAAAACGTTAAACTTAGTTTGCTTTCCTGTTCAAAGGGAACTCAGACTGCCATAACTCTCAGCTATGAAACCAACCCTCTCAAGTTACATAGGCAAGTTTCTGATGAAGGTAAAGCCACATAGGCATTGATATGTGCCAAGTGCTGTGTATTTGTACATTTTGGTCAAAAGTTACTTAGTGTTGTTTAACATCCTCCCTCAAGTTTTAATAAATAGACAAAAAACTGTATTTTTAATTTATTTTCTAAAAACATTTTATAGCTTAAATTAACATATATGACCTCTTTTCAATGGGAATTTATCCTATTCCTTCATAGGAAACTCTCAGAGAACATCAAGCTACAATGTTGTTCAGGAGCGAGCGGTTTCTGATCCCCCCAACCCAACAGAAAAAGAAACCCTGCAGTGTTCCATTCTGTCGGACTCTGAGAACACAACTTGTTCAGGAGAACCCACTGTGTTCTGGTTCAGAGCCAGATCAGATACATCCTATCCAGACATCATCTACACTGTGGGGAATACACAGGAACATTGTGGAAAGACAAACAATCAGAAAAAATGTAGTTACACCTCCTCTAATGATGTCAGCTCCTCTGAAGCAGACACCTATTATTGTGCTGTGGCCACATGTGGAGAGATAATATTTGGAAATGGACCAAAAAGGGTAACAAGCAATGAAGGTATTGTAATTATCATGTCATTTATATTATAAAAGAATTATCCTGCTTTTTTTGTGATACCTTTTCTTTGTTTTCTAGATAATAGACCATGTTCTGAAAGGATTGTTCTCTTGATCACCTTAATCGCTTTGGCCATTTCGGTAACCATGAATATCATTTTAATTTGCTGTCGAACTCAAAGATCAGCATGTGCCCGATTTAAAGGTAGGGCTGATTTATTACACTAAACCTTCCAAAGCCAAAACATTATTAATTTGTCAAATAGTGTAACATATCGAATACCATGTTAGAAAACAAAAAAAAAGATACTGCCAAATGTTCAGATGGAAAACCTTACTAAGCTCAGTTTTACTATAATCAGATGTTTGATGTTTGCTTTGTTTACACAGAACATTCCTCTTCAGTTCCTCCTCAACCAAATCACAGGGACTCAAGCCAACCAATGGATAAGGCAAGTAATAACAATAAATAATTATTGCAACTATTTGACTGTATTGACATAAAGCAGCAATAAAAACTTTTCTTGAAAATATTTTTCACAGAGTGAAAATGAACTGGATCTGAATTATGCTGCCTTGCATTTCTCTGGAATAAAGAAACAAAAAGAAAAGAAGAAAAGAGAACTAAAAACTGAAGAAAGTGTTTATTCACAAGTTTTACATGAACATGCTAAATGATATCAGAATCAGACAGACATAACTTAATCTGCATTTTTGTAGAACCCAGAGAATGTTAATTACACAGATACTGCAAATGCTCAGTTGGATCCCTCTACCTAAGGATCAACTTCTAAACTTATTGCAAAAAAATGCAAAAAAGTTTTTCATGTGCTTTCTTTTTTTCCTACTCTCCTGATTTGTAAATGTTAATATTCTTTAATCTACTTTAATTTATATAATTAACATGTGCTAAAATCCGTGTACCTAGCTAGCATATGGTTTTCTTTCATAGCTGAAAGCTTGGGGACAGCAACTGTCTTCAAGCTGTCAACCCACTCAAAATTCAAAGTTGTGTATCTGCAGTGCTAGATGTGCAAGTCCTAAGCATATCAAGCACACAATTACTTTTACTTGTGCCCGAACTGTGAGTCTGACAAATGGGGCATAAAGAGGGTTGCTTGGTTAGGCTATTATCATTTATGTACTCTAATTCTCATCATATCATAATTTTTTAAAGAGAACTTAAAGAAATATTTAAGATGTCTGTACTTGTGTTTTCCCCACTTTACCTTAGTGTGTAGCAGCAGTGTTTCACTGCAGTAGGGATGGTGGCAGTTAAAGGAGGTTGTGGTGACCTTGCTTTTGGTGGCTTTAGTGTTGCACTGCTGCTCCTCCATCACGTTAAGTCGTTAGCTAGTTATCTGTCTGACTCAATGAGCTCCTTGAACCAAGCAGCATTATTAGAGTGTCTGACAATGATACGCAGTCCCACTGAGACGTCCCTGCATTCTCATTCACGTATACAAAGAAACTCTCTGCACTGGGTATTGTCCAAGATGAGAGGCGTAGGTGAGTTGTTCTTTTGGGATGTTTAGTATAGCTTTTCCTTGTTTTTCCTTGAATTAAGTTATTCTCATTTAGAAAAAATCATCCAAGAAGGTAAAGTAAAAACAAAATAAAAGATGTTTTCTTTTTGCCTCAGTAAACAAACCTTTCTTTTAAATCAACAAAGGCTGCATGAAATAAAAAATAAATTCATATTATTTACAGTATGGTGATTGGCCTTGTATTGTTTTTATGAACAATCTGTCACGGTGATGGTTGGCATTTTCATTTACCCCTGTCACCTGTCTAATTGACCCAGCGGCTCATTACATTCATTATGCTTTTCCACCTGGTTCCTGCTGCTATTTATGCTGCTTGTTTGCCTACCATCAGCGCCAGATTATCCGAGCTGTTTGGTGAGAGTAACTCTAGCCATCTTGTATTTGTTCTGTAATTCTGATTCTGACGGCTTCTGCCCTTGGATACCCGTTTTGCCTTGCCCTTGTCTGCTTTGTCAGTTTTGTTTTGGACTGATTCCTGGATCCTGCTGGTCAACTGAACTTGGACTGTGCTACTGACCTCGGCTTGGATTCTCCTCTAGTACCTCCTTGGCACTCTGATCTTCTTGTCTGTAAACCTCGATCTGATATGGCCTGGGGTCTGGATATTCCCTCATGGACACTGTTGCCTCCTTGGCGTCGGCTGGCGTCAACTCGCCTAATCCCTCTGAACTCCAGAAGGGGCACAGGCTGAAAGCGGTGGACATTCTAAGTCTCGGATTTTTCTCCTTCCTTATGGTTCAGACTTTACTCAGAACCAGGTCAGTGACTTTGCTCCCAGTCGTTATCAAATATTCTTAGTCACTGAGTTTTCTATCCCTGCAGAGAATCCGGGTATCTGCCCGCAGATACTCATCTGCATGCTGTATTTTATCTTTAATAAAGGCTTGTTTGAAAATCGTCCTGATCTGTCTGCTTTGAATTTTGTGTGCAAGGTTCCGACTTTGTAACACAATCATAATGTTCTAAATCATTTGGAAAAAAAAAACTAAGTCAATAATGGTAGACTGTAAAGAACCTTAGTCTTATGACTTAGAGTAAAAAATGACCACAGTTTGACCATTTTACAGATCACCCGGAGAGGATCGGCAAAAAGATCTTTCTAACTTCATCTTCATTGGAGGTGAAGAACCTTAAAAAATAGATAATGATACACCTAATCAAATGGACACTTGCTTCTCAGTAAAACAAATGTAGTCATTTAGTGAAAATCTAGGTGTGGATGGATGGCTGGTTGGTTATTCTCGAATTTTACTGAGACACTGGCAAAAAATTTAATGCAATGGAATTGGAAGTAAATTGTATCTGCAATTAACATGCAAAGACATAAATTAAAAACACTGAGTGGGTGGAGGGGCTGGCACTGGCCTGCTCTCTCCTCATAGGTGTTTTTCTCAACAAAAATTGGTAGTCTGCCATTAGCTCCTCAATTATCAGTGCTCCCAGTGGTGTAGCAAATTTTTCAAAAGTATGGGGGTGCTGTTTGTCTGCATATTGCACTAGCTATGAATTGACATTTTTTTAATGGCTGCTGTTTGTTTTATTTTAATATAACATTTTTCCATAATGTTTGTTACTTTACATTTTCATAAACAATGGTTATGAATGTTAACCTATATATTACATATTACTAGCCTAATAAACTAGCCCCAGCGGCCCAAATGATTTTTGCCTGCGAGTGGTCTAGCCTTGATCAATGCCCCAGGCCCTACAACTGCCGGGTCAATCACAACACAGAGATGTGTTTTGAATTCCTTGATTCAAAGCGGGTGGGTTTTGAGGGCGTGACGACAAAGCTGCGTGACGCTGGAGAAAGCACAACAAGGAAGATGGCAACAACTATTGAAAAGTCCTCGTTTGGCTCAGCTTTGGAATCAGTTTTGGAAGGATTAGACATGGAGTTTTCATTGAAACGTGAGCAGGAAGAGGCTCTACACATTTATAAGAAGGATGTATTCTCAGTTTTATCGACAGGCCTTTTGTTTACACTCCCCCACTAGCTTTCTGTCATGCTTACTACGTCACAGTCAGTTGCGCTCATTGGTCAGAGCGTTGGCCAATAGGCACAGACATGGTTTGAAAGATAACGGGTTGTTCTCATCAACAATGCACCTTAGGAAGAACGGACAGAATTTTGGACGGACATCATGTTGAATCCCTATGGATTAGGAATTGGATGTCAAATAAGCTCATTTGAGAGTAAAGGCGATGTAGTGCATCTAGTAATATGCATTTCATGCTTTTATTATGGATATGTTGCTATTATATCATGATTACAATGAATATAATAGGAATTGACTTATTATTTTTTCTTTTTAAATTACGTACAAAAAGCTATTGCTAGATGGATTTGTATACGAAAAAATAAAATCAATGTTTCCGTCTCTAATTTCCATTCCATCTTTTCTGGAATGCTTATCCCAGCTGGAGTCACGAGTGGTGCTGGTACCTATCTCAAGCTGTGTACGGGCAAGAGGCTTGGTACACCCTGAACAGGTCGCTAGTCTATTGCAGGGCAACACCGAGACAAAAAGAACAAACAACCATTCACGCAAACACACCTAAGAGGAATTTACAGAAGCTAATTAACCTATCAGTCATGTTTTTGGACTGTGGGAGGAAGCCTGGGTCCCCGGAGAGAACCCATGCATGCACATGGAGAACATGCAAACTCCAAGTAGAAAGACCACGGGATGGGAATCAAACCCGGAACCTTCTTGCTTCAAAGCAGCAGTGCTACCCAATACACAACTGTGCAGCTCGTACAGTAAGCAGTATACAGTATACTGTACTACAAATTGTTATTAAAGGTAACCCTATTCTCTAGATAAATTAGATAATTTAAGCACTGCTTTAAAATGAAATTTTTAATTATTAAATCAGTTATTTGGATAACCTACTTGAGTCGCCTTTTTACCAAATACTTTTGACTCCTGAGTAAATTCTCAGATGTCTACTTTTTACTGTTACTTTGAAAATGTATGTTGAAGTAGACCTGTTCTGAGTATTCAACTAAACTCTGTACACCAGAAGGATGTAGTAGTAAATTGGGTTCATATGATTCGAAAACAACCATGGCTACGTTTACACAAAAAGTTTAATACAAAAAAGTTTATATTTGCTTTCAGATTTTTTTTCATTTAAATATGCTTTCAACTTCATTAAAGTAATATCACAGGGTTTATCTTAAAGTTGTCAGTCTGCTCTTCTCTTTCTTTTCTGTATCTTAATTTTGTTTAATACAATTTCACAGTATAAAACTTGAAACTGTTTTGACTCTGACTGAGGTGACAAAGAGTTAAATTGTGAGGCAGGCAACAGTGGACGGGATTATATATGAATACAGAAGTTGATCTCCCAAATATGACTACATATATGAAAGAAAACGTTTTTCTTGTTCTTGCCACCTCAAGAAGAAGAATACATTTCTCAGTTTTTGCAGGGTATGTAGCAAGCTTAAATCAAGGGCATTTATCACCCTACAAGGAAGGTGTGGGTGTTAAAATAACCACTTTCTCTATGGTTGTGACATCTATAAGTACTTCTGTTTTTTCATGTGTGTATGCTATGCTTAAAACCCAAGTCAAGGCCTAGATTCCAAGCATGAGAAAATATGTTTGCTTCAAAGTATTTATACTTCACTAGAAGCTCAGTTGCAAAAGTCTGCCCCTCTCTCAAGCACATCGCTGAAGTTCTTCCCACACATGTTGAGAACAAGCAGTGAGACCCCCCAAGGACAGTCCGGAAAGAATACAATGATGTAATTCACTGCGAGAGCAAGCACAAATGTAGTTTGTTCTTGTGAAGTTGAGCCTAGTTCTGCTTGCGACGTGTTGTCTTTGAAGCAGTTTTCCTTTATACTATCACTGTATGCATGCTTAGTAAGATGAATTGCTGCAAATTCATTGATACATTGCAAACGACCAACTTTCACTTCATACTTATCCAGGAGAAATGAAATTCTGCATATATAAGCCTAGATGCAAACTGCAGGATTTCTCTAAATATAAACTTTTTTAACCAATGTCTGTATGATTTTATTAATTTGACTGAGTGTCTGTGGATGCGTATTTGTTACCTTTTGGGGACAATATAAGGAAATAATCCCAGCAATATGCTTCATTATGGACTGGTCAACGGATCACCATCAGGACAGGCTCTCTTCTTGGGTTAGAGGTTAGGCTTACAGTAGGACTAAGACCCAAGTAGCTAAGTTCTAGAAAAGCAGATTGTCTCTGTAGTGTTTAATATATTTTTCTTGACATATGAAATTACTTTTTGTAGGCTGAATTTTTCAAATCTCAA